AATTATTTCCCATAAAAAAGCAAACCTGAAAAACAAAAAATCACTAAAACCAAAGGAAAACATTTTCCTCAACAACACAGAAAAGTGGCGCGTGAGGGGTGGAAAGGGAATTTGATTTCCGGTCAAAAGTTTTGCAATCAAACACCATTTCCATTTTCCAAGGAAAATGGTGTGAATCAAACACTGCTTAACAATATTCAGACCCAATATAACCAGAAATTTTGAGTATGACAGCTTTGGTAGCTTGGTCATAAAAATCAAAATTCCAACAAAGAATTAAGAAAATCACATAAGCCCAATAAAATAATTGGTAGAAAAGAATTATTAAATAATTTTAAATATTATTATATGTGATGCATAAAGAACAATCTCTAGTTATGAATTTTTGGAAAATGAACAAAAAATTCCTATAAAATAAGATGGCGGAAGTTCTTAGAATTTCTGAATTGTGTATGTTTGTAGAGAGAGAAGGGGATGAGTGAGGTTCTGATGGGAGGAGCTGGGTTGAGTTGAGAGTTTAAAAGTAAATCCTATTTATTCTTGGATCAAACTGATTAAACCATCCTCCTGTCTAACCTTCCTTGAAGTTTTTCAGCAGTTCAATTCCAATTTTGATGGCTCTCCATCAACTTGTATTTATTTTGGCTCTACTTTTTCAGCACCTTGTGTCAAGGATCGTAGCTTTACTTAAACCCTTTGACTCCATCACAGTCGCAATTTGACTAACTTCGACCGCACATTGTAAATATTAGTTCAAGTTTGAGTTGTAATTTTCTTTCAATTGTAATAGTTTATTTCAATTGTAAAATAGTTCTGACATTTGTAAATGTTTAGTATGATTTCTCGACATTTAAAGATCTACTCCTATCACTTAGGTTTTTGTTTCGCAAGCTATTATATGGGGTATTAGCCATTCAAATTTTTTTTCAAACTTACTGGTGTTCGCCCCCTGCACTAGCCATTGTAATTTCCTGCTTTCAATCAATTGTAATTTCAAGCTTTCTAGTAATCTGTGATCAAGTTTAATTCTATGCATTT